CCGCACTGCCGCTGTGCTGGGGGACCTGGAGACATGTGGGGTTTGCAGGGGCCTAGGCATGCCCGGCCAAGCCCAGCCTCAGGGATCACGGTCTAGTCCCGCACCCCACAGCCCCTGCTTGGGACGCTCCCTGCAGGTCCCAGGAATTACTGCAAGGTGGGGGCAGGGCCTCAGAGCCCTTCCCCTGAGCTGAGGGCTGGCAGCCACCCTTTGGCTTTGGAGAAGGTGAGCCAGGTCTACCAGGGACTAATTATTTCTGCAGCAGCCGCTTTGCCTGCCCGGTACCCCCACTGTCCTACCGCAGGCCCCATGGCTTGTTCTGAGTGTCCTGTGTGTGTGCACGTGTGTCTGTGAGCATGCTGCCTCATGTATGTGTGCTGCACGTGTGTATGTTGTCCAGGTGTGCATGTGTGCATGTGTGTGCTGCCCACATGGGTCTGTGAGCATGCTGCCTAGGTATGCACATATGTACACAGTGTGAATGTGCCACCCACATGTGCATGTGTGAGCATGCTTCCCATGTGCATGCGTGTGTGTATAGAATGTGTGGCCCACGTGTGCATGTGTATGTGCTGTCCATGTGCACACGTGTGTTTGTGTATGTGCTGTCCATGTGTGCATGTGTGTATGCTGCTCGTGTGTATGCGTGCATGTGTGAGTGTGCTGCTCACGGGTGCATGTGTGCTGTCCATGTGTGCATGTGTGTGCTGTGTGTGCTGCTCGTGTGCATGTGTGTAAGCGTGCTGCTCACGTGTGCATGTGCGTGAGCATGCTTGTCATGTGTGCCTGTGTGTGCTGTCCATGTGTGCATGTGGTTTGAGCATGCTGCCCATGTGAGCCTGTGTGTGTGTGTGTGAGCATGCTGCCATATGGGCATGTATGTCTGTGTCTGCCTGCTGTGCCACCATGGTATGTGCCCTCCTGGGCTTCCCTGCCCCTTCATCTCCATGATGCCCTCTGGTCCCTGGCTCTCCCCGTGTACCAGTTCCTTCCTCTCCCCAACCCTGGGTCCCCACCCCCCATCCTCAGCCCACCCAGTGCTGATGGGGAATCAGGGACCAGAGTGTGTACCTCTCCCAGCCTGGCTGTATGACTGGCAGCTGAAGAGCCCTCTCTGGGCCCACTACCCTGCACTGCCTCCCAAGCGAGGTCACTTGTGCACCTGACACAGGCTGAGCTCAGCAATTGCGTCCCAGTTGCTCCAGCTCAGAAAGGGGCCCTGAGGATAGACCCAGGGTCACGGGTAGGCTCCAGGCCGGAGAGCTGCCCACAGCACAGGGTGGGCCCAGCAGCCACTCCAGACAAAAAACCACCAAAGGGAGCCATGGAGTGACAGGTGAGATGAGAACCCCAGCTCTGGAAGGTCTGGGTCTGCTAGGCCCTGCACCAACAAACGAAAATAATCCCCGGGCCTGACCGCGGCTCAACTCCTGCGCCTTGCTGGCGCTGCAGCCTCGGTGAAGACAGGAACTCATACCAGGCTGAGAGATGTTTCCAGTGAGGTCAGGCCCACTAGCAAGAGAGGACATGGTGGGCGGGGCTCAGCATAGGCCCGCTGCCTCCCCTCATCCACTCCCAGGCTGAAATCAGGGGGAGGTATCCAGGCTGGCTCCTCGCAGGCCTTCTGAATACACCCAGCCTGGCCATAGCAGGGCCAGGTCCCGCCAGGCTCTGTCCAGCTTTGTCGGGTCTCCCGCACACAAACCCTGAGCCTGGGGCCCAGCCGCCTGGGCCCTCCCACATGGGCAGCAGGGATGCAGATTCCACTCCACATCCCAGGAGCCAGCACAGGTGCTAGGACACCAGAGCCCTTGCTAACCAGGTCGGAGCCTCCCAGCAGAGATGGAGCCTTATCCTCTGGCTGCCCACCCCCCGCACCCCTCTCCTTGCAGCCTTTTCCCACTCCTGACCTGCCCCAGGGGCTGCGGGGGCTGGGGTTCCACTTCACCACCTCAGGGTACAGCTCATCTCCCTGCCCCCAGGAGCTGTCACCTTGGATACCATCTGCACCCAGGCAGCTCAGAGACGCTTCCTCTGGGCCTCCCAGACCCCCTGGCCAGGCAGGAGACTGATGGGATCAACATCCCCTCTACCCAGGAAACCAGCTGGCCAGCTCCCGGACATTTCTGAATAAATGAATGAATAAACAAAAGAACAAATGCGTGGGGCACAGTGCCTCACGCCTGTAATCCCAGCACTTTGGGAGGCCTAGGCCGTGGGGATCCCGATATCAGGAGATCAGACATCCTGGTTAACACAGTGAAACCCCAGGGCCTCTACTTAAAAAAAAAAAAAAAAAAAAATTAGCCAGGCATGGTGGCAGGCGCCTATAGTCCCAGCTACAATGGAGGCTAAGGCAGGAGAATGGCATGAACCCGGGAGGCGGAGCTTGCAGTGAGCAGAGATGGCGCCACTGCACTCCAGCCTGGACGACAGAGTGAGAAAAAAAGAACAAATGCTCCAGGCCTTCCCACAGAGCTTAGGGTTGCCCCCACGTAACTGCAGGAGGAGGAGCTCAGTCCACAGGGCCCTGGACCCAGCTTTGTTCGGACAGCAATGCCCAGAGTGGGCTTGGGTGGCCGAGGCCTGGCGCCAACTTCCCCGCTGCACGCGGCTGGTCAGTGTACATATGGTCTGCTGGAGAGGTGGAGGCAGAGGGAGTAGAAGTTCCTGCCGCTGCTTCCCATGTTGCTCCCATCTGCCCGACTGCCTGGCAGGCCGGCCCTTTCTGGTGTGGCACCACACGTGGCTGGTTGTGCCTGGTGGGCACGTTAGGAGTCGGGCACGGCATGCCTGGGCTCCATGCAGGGCCTGCATGCTCCCTGTCTCCCTCTGGGATCCAGCAGCATCTGAAAGGGTCATCAAATGATTTAGAACAGGGCCCCACCCACCCACCCTGTGGCGGTTTGCTAGGCCCCTGGCCTGGGTGCCCAGACGTGTAGCCACTGTCCTCTGGCACTGGCCAGGGTGGCCTCTGTCCCCATTTCTCTCCTCCAAGAGATGGCTCTGCTGCCCAACCAACCCCTCCTGCTGCCCCCTCCCTCCTCTAGGTCAGACCGAACCCATTCACAGGCCTGACTGTGGAGCGACACGGACTGCCCCGTTTCTGCCTGGTGACCAGTGCCCACTGTGCACTCCCCCAGGTCAGCCGAGCCTGGCACACAGTGGGTGCTCCCTAAATAGCCATAGAGGATATCACAGCCACCCCCATTTTATTCAGGGGTCACCAGCTCCCCTGCTCTTAAGGCCAGGCCAGGCTTTCCCTGAGCCCTAGTCTTATTTGGAGGGAGGGGAGGCCGTGCCTACAAAGCCATGTTTCATCAGCAAGAGATGAATAATTAATGCCACGGTGCCTTTGAAAACTTTTGGTTTTATTTTAAACTTTTTTTTTTTTTTTTTTTTGAGATGGAGTCTTGCTCTGTCACCCAGGCTGGAGTGCAGTGGCCAGATCTCAGCTCACTGCAAGCTCCACTTCCCGGGTTTATACCATTCTCCTGCCTCAACCTCCCGAGTAGCTGGGACTACAGGCGCCCGCCACCTTGCCTAGCTAGTTTTTTGTATTTTTTAGTAGAGATGGAGTTTCACCATGTTAGCCAGGATGGTCTCCTTCTCCTGACCTCGTGATCCGCCCGTCTCGGCCTCCCAAAGTGCTGGAATTACAGGCTTGAGCCACTGCACCCGGCCATATTTTTAACATTCTTTTCTACGTATAGAAACAGCACTTCTGTTAGGCACCAAATTTTTTTTAAATAAACGTGGCAGTTATTTGTTCAATCTCTGGTGCTCCCTGGGGCGGCTGGCACAGGGGTGAAGAGAACTTACCAGGGCTCCACTGGCAGACTCTACCATGTGCCTGCCCACCCCCCTCCATGCACAGCCAGGGTGGAGGACACGGGGCAGAGGGCAGAAGTTGGTGGGCAAGGCCTGGCCAGAGGCCAGAGCTGCAGGGCAGTTGCACAGTGGCCAAGCCCTGTGGCACACTGGGGCCCTGCCTGGGTCCTTGAGCTTCCCAGCCTACAATGGGGTGATGATGCAGGGGACCCAAGGTCTGATCACGCTACCCAGGTATTCTAGGCGGAGGCTAGGAGCTCCCCTCACAGAGATGGCAGGAAGCATGGAAGGGCCCAGGCGGGCAGGCTGAACCAGCCATGAGGTGTGCAAGGCGAAGCTCTGCACCACCCACCAGGCCCACCTCTCTTTGTGCTCAGAGCCTGGGGACCGAAGCTGAGGCCTAGAGAACTAATGGGCTCCATAATTCTCCAGGTCGAGAGGTAGCCAGTGTTGATTTCTTGGCTCTTCAAGTCCATCCACAAATCCCATTACTTGGTGCCTTCTCAGAAATTACACTTCTATTTTCAAATTACAAGTTGAGGAGACTGGGGCAGCAGAAGACAAAACAGTATGTTCCAAGTGCACCTTCCCTGGCCAACTGCCACAGCGCCTGAGCCCTCTGGCCCATCCATAATCAGGGGTGAAGGAGTGGACATCCCAGCTCAACGCCCCCCTGCCACTGTCCGGTTGCAACTGCCTGGCTTGGACACGGTCTTTTCTAACCCTGCAGCCAATCTTCTTCAGCTTCTCCTGAAAAGGAAGGTGGAAGCCATGGGCTCCAGCAGCAGCCAGCTGAGGCACGGTGGTGGCTGAGGCGGCTGCAGCTCCAGGGAGGGGGTCTGAGTCACCTGTCACTATTTCCAGGGCTGGGAACACCAGAGAGTTGGTCTCTCCCCTTCTACTGCCTCCAACATGGTAACAGTGGCAGCAGCAGCACATCCAGGGACCCAGGCCAGTTTTAAACCTCTCACCGCACCCCCAGTGTCCTGGGCTTTGGAGACCGCTAGTGGAGACAGCCATTCTGAGGATTATTCCTCTTCTCCCCATTCCACTGCTGCTGCTGCCAGTCTGGCTACCAAGGAGCAGCAGGACCAGTCGCTGCTGTCACACGCGTCTGTGTGAAGAGACCACCAACACACTTTGGGTAAACAATAGAGTTTATTCACCTGGGTGCAGGTGGGCTGAGCCCAGAAGAGAGTGTCAGCGAAGGGAAGATAGGAGCGGGGCAGTTTTATAGGATTTGTGTAGGTAGTGGAAAATTACAGTCAAAGGGGTTGTTCTCTAGTGGGCAGAGGTGGGGGTCACAAGGTGCTTGGTGGGGAGCTTCTCAGACTCATTTTCCAGGAGAAGGAATTTCACAAGATAATGTCATCAGTTAAGGCAGGCACCAGCCATTTTCACTTCTTTTGTGATTCTTCAGTTGCTTCAGGCCATCTGGATGTATCTGTGCAGGCTTGGGCTCAGAGGTCTGACATTCCTGACTTCTTATATTAATAAGAAAAATAAAATAGTGGTGAAGTGTTGGGGCAGCGAAAATTTTGGGGGGTGATATGGAGAGATAATGGGCGATGTTTCTCAGGGCTGCTTCGAATGGGATTAGGGGTGGCATAAGAACCTAGAGTGTGAGAGATTAAACTGAAGAAAGATTTTGGGGTAAGGGGTGATCTTGTGGGTTGTTAAAAGGAGCGTTTTTTGTATAGAATGACTGGTGATGGCCTGGGTGCAGTTTTGTATGAATTGAGAAACTAAACGGAAAACACAGGTCCAAATAAGAGGAGGAGAAAAATAGGTATTAAAGGGCTAAGAATTGGGAGGACCCAGAATACCCAATTAGAGTGTGTCCAAGGGGGTTCAGCGTAATTATTTGCTTGGTTGGCGAGTTTTTGTGCTTTATCCTTGAGTTTTTTTTATGTTGTCATGTACCAGGCCAGATTAATTTAGGTAGAAACAACACTCTTCATTTAAAAATATACAGAGTCCTGGCTGGGTGCAGTGGCTCATGCCGATAATCCCAGCACTCTGGGAGGCTGAGGCGGGCAGATCACGAGGTCAGGAGATTGAGACCATCCTGGTTAACACAGTGAAACCCCATCTCTATTAAAAATACAAAAAATTAGCCAGGCATGGTGGCGGGCACCTGTAGTTCCAGCTACTTGGGAGGCTGAGGCAGGAGAATGGCGTCAACCTAGGAGGGGGAGCTTGCACTGAGCCAAGACAGCGTCCCTATACTCCAGCTTTGGTGACAGAGTAAGACTATCTCAAAAAAAAAAAAATACATACACACACACACACTCCTCCTTCTTCAGCAGTCAGTCAGTCAAGCCCTATTATTGTCTTCTTATATTAATAATAAGAAAAACAAAAAAATAGTAGTGAAGTGTTGGTGTCATGAGGGGAACAGGAAGCTGTTCGGTCCTATTTGCAAATTGAATTTTGGGGTAAGGAAAACTAGTGTACATGTGCCTGTCCACTTAACAGGCAGACACATGTAGGTGGAGGAGCCACAGAGGAAGAAGAGACCTTGTGTAAGGCAAAACTGGAAATATAAAGTGGGTGAAAGAATTGGAGCGTGCCTTCCCAGCAAAGGTCATCTATCCCACTCCAAGAGGGAGTTAAGAGTGGCAGTTAGGGGATGAGACCAAGACCAGCTATGATGGTCTGGAGAAAAAGTATAAGCCAGCAGTGTAGACAAGGGCACCATTTATGGATAGGTGAGAACAAAGAATAGGAGTATGACTAGATTGAAGATAGCAGGGATGAAAAGTTTTGGGATGCAGTCCAAGTAGTGGGGGTGACTGTGTAAAGCCCTGTTGCAAAGAGTAGGGTAAAGAAGAATAGACCTAACAAAATGAAAGGATATGTTAGGCTCATTAAGTGTGACTGCTGTTCTTCAGAAATGTGGGTGAGTTTAAGGGAAGCAGGGGTGAGTACTTACAACTTCCAGGAAGAACAGGAGAGATCAGGCTGGCTGGCTGACAGACACAGCTTTATTCTGGAATGGTGAACCCAATGGGGAGGGTCCTGGAAGCAGACGACAGTTGGGGTACTATAGATGACTAAGTAGGGTCCAGTTCATCAAGGTTGTAGAGTTTGAGGGGGTCAGATTCTTAACAAGAACTGATCGTCCAGCTAGGATGTCTTCATATGGCTGGGGATCTGCAGTAGACAAGAGAAGATCAGCAGCCTGGCAAATTTCCTGTCTAGCCTGCTAGAGGACTGGAAGATAAGACACCTAGAGGGATGGTGTCTGGGATAAGGTTGGGGCCAAGCAAGAAAGTGCGTCCATATAAAAGTTCAAGTGGACTGTACCCTGTAGCATTTTGAGGACAGGCTCTAATTCTGAGAAGGGCAAGAGGTAAAAGTACTATCCAGTCCTTTTAAAGTTGGAGGCTGAGCTTGGTGAGGTGTGTCTTTAAAAGACCATTAGTCCGTTCCACCTTTCCTGAAGATTGAGGATGGTAAGGGGTACGAAGCTTCCACTGAATACCAAGAGCCTGAGAAACTGCTTGGGTGGGGAAAAGGGCAGCAATGAGCTGTGTCCGTAGTCTAGGAATAGTAAGGGAAGCAGATAATTTAGTTAAAATGCCTTGACCTAATAAGGCAACTAACTGGGCAGGTGGGGATAACTAAAAAGGAGTGCATAAAAGAATGTTGTCCAAGTTGGCACCAGAGTTGGGGAGTTTTAAGAGGTTTAGAAGCCTGGTCATCAATACCCAAAACAGTTATGGAGGCCAGGGAAACAGGCCCTTGAAAGGAAGGTAATGTGGAGTGGGTAGCCTCCATACTGATTAAGAAGGGGACAGACTTACCCTCCATTGTAAGAGTTACCCAAAGCATCTGTGATGGTCCAGGAGGCTTTCGAGGCAATCGGGCAGCACCAGTCTTCAGCTGCTAAGCCAAGAAAATCTGGGAAGGAGTCAGAGAGCCTTGGGCCGGGTTCAAGGGCTCTGGGAGTGGCTGCCAGGCAAGCTGGACAGTCCAATTTCCAGTGGGGTCCCACACAGATGGGACATGCCTTAGGAGGAATCCCAGGCTAAAGCATTCCTGGTCCAGTGGCCAGATTTCCAGCACTTGAAGCAAGATCCTGGGGAGGAGGCCCTGAAGGACTGCCTGACCACTGTGGCTTAGGCGTTTTGAAGTTCTTGTGTGCTGCAGATGTGGCTGGGGTTTGTCTCACAGTGAAGGCAAGTAATTGCAACTCTTTTCTCTTATTGTACACCTTGAAGGAGAGGTTAAGTCCTCTTGTGGGGTTTGAGGGCTGGAATCTAATTTTTGGAGTTTTTTTCTAATATCGGGAGTGGGTTGGATAATAAAATGCATATTGAGAATGAGATGGCCTTCTGGCCTCTCTGGATCTAGGTAAAGCATTTTAAGGGTTATTGCCAAACGGGCCATGAACTAGGATGGGGTTTTATATTTGATGAAAAATAACCTACACCCTAACTGATCTGGGAAAGGTCAGATAAAGAAAAAGGAGCATTAACCTTGACTATGCCTTCAGCTCCAGCCACCCCCTTAAGAGGAAATTGTTGGGCAAGTTGGGGAGGGCTACTTGCAGAATGAAACTGTAAGCCAGGCCGGGTGTGAGGAGAGATGATAAAAAAGATTATACGGTGGGGGAGTGGAGGCTTGGGAAGAACTGGGACCTAGTTCGGCCTGGCAAGGAGCAGCCTGAGGAGGAGGGGAGAGGTCAGATGTGTCCATAGAAAAGCAGGATTCAAAGGACTCAGAGCTTGGGATGGAGACTGAAGGAACAGACAGGAGAGAAAGGAGGAGGATTTGGCATGAGTTGCATGGGAGCAGAGATTAGGAAAGGAACAATGTGTAAAAGAATACCTGGACATCAGGCACCTCAGACCATTTGTCCATTTTACGACAAGAATTACCTAGATCTTGTAGAGGGAAGAAATCGAAAGTGCCATTTTCTGGTTATTTGGAACCATTATCGAGTTTGTATTGAGGTCAAGCAGTATTGCAGAAGAAAATAAGGCATTTAGTGTTTAGGTTTTAGGTCAGGTGAGAGTTTAAGTTCTTGAGAACACAGGCTAAGGGAGAAGGAGGAGGAATGGTGGGTGGAAGCTTGCCTACAGTGAAGGAGGTAAGCCCAGAGAAAAGAGAAGGTAGAGACACAGTGGGGGGTGGGTGGTACTTGCCACCCAGGGGAGGTGGTGCTTGCTACCAAGGTGAAGGATCAAAGCAGACACCTCTGAAATATAGGTGTAATTAGGCAGGCATCCCTGCAGTGATTAAACACCAAGGGAAGACTGTCTTCCCGAGTCCATGACTGGCACTGGAGTTTTTGGTTCATGGATAAAACGCCTCTCCTCTGTCTCTACCAGAAAAGGAAAGGAACTGAAATTAAAGGAAGAGAAAGATTGAAGGGTGGCACTGAAATTGAAAGGAGAAAGAGGTTAAGGGATAGTGAGAGAGGTTGGAGGAGAGAGTAAAAAGAGGCCGCTTACCCGATTTAAAATTGGTGAGATGTTCCCTTGGGCTGGTTGGTCTGAGGACCTGAGGTCATAGGTAGATCTTTCTCATGGAGCAAAGACAGGAGGACAAGGGATTGATCTCCCAAGGGAGGTCCCCCAGTCCGAGTCACAGCACCAAATGTCACGCACATCCCTGTGAAGAGACCACCAACAGGCTTTGTGTGAGCAATAAAACTTTTTAATCACCTGGGTGCAGGTGGGCTGAGCCCGAAAAGAGAGTCAGCAAAAGAAGATAGGTAGGGGGCAGTTTTATAGGATTTGTGTAGGTAATGGAAAATTAGTCAAAGGGGTTGTTCTCTGGCAGGCAGGGGCAGGGGTCCCAAGGTCCTTGGTGGGGAGCTTCTGAGACTCATTGTCCAGGAGAAGGAATTTCACAAGATAATGTCATCAGTTAAGACAGGAACTGACCATTTTCACTTCTTTTGTGATTCTTCAGTTGCTTCAGGCCATCTGGATGTATATGAGCAGGCTTGGGCTCAGAGACCTGACAGCTGCCATCCAGCAGCCATTACCCAGCTGTGGTCCAGAGCCAAGTGGCAGCAGAGCAAGGGGCATCAGCTACTGCCAAGCCCAGAGCCATTTCCATCCTGCAGAAGAAGACCCACCACCCACAGCTTCTGCCATCTCTCTCCTTTTTTCCTCAGCCACAGGCTCCCAGACATGACAGCCATCATCAAAAAGATCGTTAGCAGAAACAAAAGGAGATATCAAGAGGATGGATTCGACTTAGAATTAACCTATATTTATCCAAACATTATCGCTATGGTATTTCCTGCAGAAAGACTTGAAGGCGCATACAGGAACAATACTGATGATGTAGAAACGTTTTTGGATTCAAAGCATAAAAACCATTACAAGATATACAATCTTTGTGCTGAAAGACATTATGACACCGCCAAATTTAACGGCAGAGTTGCACAATATCCTTTTGAAGACCATAACCCACCACAGCTAGAACTTATCAAACCTTTTGTGAAGATCTTGACCAATGGCTAAGTCATGTTGCAGCAACTCACCATAAAGCTGGAAAAGGACAAATTGGTGTAATGATTCGTGCATATTTATTACATAGGGGCAAATTTTTCAAAGCACAAGAGGCCCTAGATTTCTAAGGGGAAGTAAGGACCAGAGACTAAAAGGGAGTAACTATTCCCAGTCAGAGGTGCTATGTGTATTATTACAGCTACCTGTAAAAGAATCATCTGGATTAGACCAGTGGCACTGTTGTTTCACAAGTGTTTGAAACTATTCCAATGTTCAGTGGCAGAACTTTCAAGCCTCAATCTGTGGTCTGATAGCTAAAGGTGAAGATACATTCCTCCAATTCAGGACTCACACGATGGGAAGACAAGTTCTTGTACTTTGAGTTATCTCAGCCATTACCTGTGTGTGGTGATATGAAAGTAGAGTTCTTCCACAAGCAGAACAAGATGCTAAAAAAGGACAAAATGTTTCACTTTGGGTTATATACATTCTTCATACCAGAAACAGAGAAAACCTCAGAAAAAGTAGAAAATGGAAATCTATGTGATCAAGAAGTTGATAGCATTTGCAGTGTAGAGCATGCAGATAATGACAAGGAATATTATTTTGTTAAAGTACTTACTTTAACAAAAACTGACCTTGACAAAGCAAATAAAAAACAAAGCCAATCATGGAAGAGCTCCTGGCCCAGGCCCTGGCCTTGGACAATGGTCAGAAAGCTCTTCCTTTAATCAATGCAGCCAATACTGGCCAACACCTTTAAGCACTGCCTAGAGAGGACATGAAATGACTAAATCTTGGCCCCAGTTCAGAGACAGCATCTGGTGACAGACTCCCACTTTCCACAATTTCCCCAGGCCCACCCCCAAGTCCCTCCCTGCACAGGCACCTGAGCAGAGGAGACAGACAGCAGCCCTAGCCTGATGGTGTCCACACCCCAGCTACCTGGCCATCTCAGACTCACCTATACCAGTCACACTGAGAAGTCCTCAGAGGACACATCAGCCTTGTTTAACTCAGTATTTCCCCAGGACTCCTTCTCCCCAGCTCTACCCTGGGTGTGGAGGACCCTCTGTGAAGGACAGACAACAGGCAGTCTCCTGGTCAGACCTCATCCATCCAGGCTGGTGAGCACACTCACAAATCCAGCTTCATTCAAACAGCAAAATGATTCCCACACAAGTGACATCTGGCAGTTCTTGTGTCCAGCAAAGCCATGGGACAGGCAGGACTGCCCGGGGCTCCACATTTCCAGGCCAGGAGCAGCAGCCTCACCCAGCCTACCCCAACCCCCAGTGCCAGCCTGAGCAGGAGAGGTACCCCCCAACTCCAGGCTCAGCCCTTTACAAGCTCAGCCCTGCAGACCTTACCAGTGCCTTGGCTGATGACCCCTCTTATCCAGACATCTCAAGCTCAGCCATAAAAGGAAAGCGAACATGGCTTTCTCTGGCACATGCCAAGAGCTCATGCTCCAAAAACGCTCTTGGACAGAACAAAGATGCTCACCCCTCCCACTGGTCCTTGCAGGTGCTGCTGAGACACTCCCATCCCTCAGGGATTCATGGGAGGGCACCATGTGACTGGAACCCAGCAGCCCTGCATAGAGACCTTAGAAAGGTCTCTGTCCCCTCCCAGTTCAACCTGCCCAGGAGGGTCCCGTGACCCGTGCATGGTGCAGCTCCCAGGAAGCTGCCCAGGGAGGCCCTGTCCGTACCTCTGCAGCTGCAGAGCCCATGCCTATCTACCTTCTGGAAGGCGCAGCTTCTGCAGTGGGGATTTTAGGATGGGGCAGAGCTTTGGGGAGGGAGATGCCAGGTGGAGGGAAGATCAGAGAAATGTTTGGGAACCCGGCCTGTGGTTGCCAAGAAAATTGGAGGACCTACTGAGCCTGCAGAAATTGAGGCCAGGCATGGTAGCTCACACCCATATTCCCAGGACTTTAGGAGGCCAAGAAGGCAGGATTGCCTGAGGCCAGGAGTTTGAGACCAGCCTGAGGAACAAAGCAAGACCCTCATCTCTATAAAAAATAATTTAAAAAAAAAATTATCTGGGCATGGTGGCAGGCACCTGTGGTCCCAGCTACTCGGAGGCTGAAGCAAGAGGATCACCTGAGCCCAGGAGTTGGAGGCTGCAGTGAGCTCTGATTGTGCCACTACACTCCAGCCTGGGCGACAGAGCTAGACTCTGTCTTTTCAAAAGGTGGGGAGAGATAGGGGCTAAACAGAACAGTGGTCACCAGAGCCTGTGGAGAGGGAGGGGTGGCCGCTCTGACCACTGCCCAGCCTGAGTGACCCCAGTGTGCCTCTTCCCCTTGGCCTTCAGCCCGCAAGGCAGCATCCTCACCTGCCCCACAGAAGGGGGTTGCTCCCCAGGTCACTCCGCCCAGAGAAGCCCCACAGAGGCCTGGGGTGCTGCAAGGAGCTGCTTCCTATGTGTCAGGCTCCATCATCGGCCAGGTGTGCTCTGAGCAACACCCTAGGCTGGGCCACGGCGGGGACCCTGTCCAGGTGGCCGGGAGGGTACAGGAGTCCCTTAGCCCCAAGTCCAGGGCTGGGGAGAAATCCTCAGGTGGGGGCAGCAGCGTCTGGGCTGACTGTTCACCCCCAGCCCTGAGCCCGGCCGCTCTGCTGCCTGGGAATCTCTGCTAATTGGCCCCCAGCACCTCCCGGGCTGAACGTTGCTCAAACATGTCAAACTTGCCACTTAAGGTTTGTGAGGTGTTCCCGGGACTCGGCAACCTTGGAAGTTGGATGAAGAACTCCAGGAAACTGGCAGGTCAGTCAGCGGCCAGAAGTGAGGCCCTGGCGCTGGGGCTGTGAAGGATTGTGGGGATCATAGGAGGCCATGGGGCTCATGAGGGCCTGTGGGGTTCATGGAAGCGTGGGGGGCACATGGAGGCCTGTGTGGTGCATGGACAACTGTGGGGTACATGGGGGACTGCAGAAGTGCTGTGGAATCCATGGGTAACTGTGGGGTTCATAGAGGGCTATGGAGTGCATGGAGAGCTGTGGGTTCAGAGAGAAAGGGCCCCTGAACCCCTGGGACCCCAAAGCCTTGTGGGGAAACTGACAGTGTGGGTAAGCCCCACCCCACCATGACACTGCAGCCCCGAGGCAAAGCAGGAGACTGCCCAGTTCCCTGGCTCTTCCCATCCTGGTCTCTGTCTGCGCCTTGCTCCATACCCAACCCAAGGCATCTGGTCCCGCAGGGTGGGGGACATGTCTTGCTAGGAGATATCTGTCTTCACCATGCCCAGGTGCCCCAGGCAGGATTCCCTACTGGGGGATCCCTCCGATGCCCCATGGTCCCACTTGTACCATCACTCTTCCACATTGACCCACCCACGAAGGCCACACTGCGGGAGCAAGCAGAGGGCCCTCATCCATCAGTCTCTGATCCCCCACAACCCAGGAGCCAGCCCCCAGCCAGGCTCTATCACTGGGGCCCCAGCCCATGTCCAGCCTTTTGGGGTGAGAGCGGGGGTGAGGTGCTGGGCAATGCCACCACCTGACAACCTGACATTTCCAAACAGCCTGGCCCCGCCTCCTCCGCAGGCAAGACCAGCACTGTCAGGAGCTCCCCAGGCTCCAGATGCCAGCATGGCCACTCACACATGGAAGAGAGGCGCCCAGAAACCTCACCGGGCATCACACAGCCCAGAATGGGCATGGGTAGTGGGGGCTGCAGGGGCCCTGGGACTGATCTGTCAGCCTGCCCTGGAAAGAGCCAGTTCCTGGCCGAGAGCCCGAGGACCCACCCCTGGTGTCCCCCAGGATCCCCCATGGCAAGTGTCCCACTGCAGCTCAGAGCAGGGGTGGAAACCGTGCAGCCCTGGGCAGGGCTCTGCCCTGCCCTGCCCTGCCCCTCCCCACTGCTGTGCAGCTCTGCCACTGCTGGCCTCTGTCCCCACAGCGACCCACATGACCTGACGATCCAAGCCATGTTGGCCCCAGGAGGTCTTCCCACCCGCAATGCTGAGCCCCAGCTGGAAAGTCACCCCCGGCACAGGCACCAGGGACAGGCAGTGCTCAGCCCTGTACGATCAGCTGTTGTTTCTGTTTAAAGCGTGAACAGGCTGGGTGCAGTGGTTCACACCTGTTATCCCAGCACTTTGAAAGGTCGAGGTGGGAGGATCGCTTGAGCCCAGGA